CCCCCCCCCCCCCCCCCCCCCGGGTTGCATGCTGCTTATTATAAGCTTGAAATTATGTATTATATTCATATGTAAATAATGTTAGTGCAGAAGATTATTATGCTAGTAAAATGCGTGGACTGTGAAGTTTGGGAAAATTCCATATTGCTGTGACCTTCTACTGATTGAATTCATTGCCCATGATAAGCTTTGTATGCAATATGGAATAAAATCTTTACCAATCTTTTTTGAAATAGCTGGATTCATGATTCTCAATCTGAGAGCAACAATTAATGTGAATGCAAGTGCAATAGCCCACTTCTGAAATATGGTTCTGAAATATGAGGCTGCGTGCTGAATTAAATTTATTGTTACCGACTGTCTAGAATGACTGAGCATTTAGCACGTAGCCTCATACTGAAACCTTCGTGCGTGACAAGCATATCTCGGAAGTGGGCTACTACTAAACCCCATTAACATATGTATACTATAATTAAATATGCATGCTTTAAATATTGTCATCATGTTATTTTATAGTTAGGATAGTACACATAGTGCTGATTGGTCGAAAACTGTGCTTTATTATTGAACGGAGCACAGTGCTAATGCTATCCATGTGCTCAAAGTGCTGCTAGATCCTGTGACTGGCTTTTATTTTGCATAAATAAATTCAATACCGTAAATTAGTAGCTATAARATAAAATGAATAAAACAGCTTTTTCCATGCTCCATTCAGTAATAAAGCACTTAGGAAGCACCGTAAGCACTCAAGAAGTACACTTACTCCTTACACTTCTTTCATRCTTATGCCACTTCCTGCATGCTTTATTATTGAACGGAGCCCGAAAAAAGCTGTTTTATTTGTTAAATATTCTATTTTGAACAGACGAATTCAGCTTGGAGCAATGCTTTCCCATTTCAGATCAAGTGGCATTTCTTTTGGAAATGAGATTCCTTGTTTGAGTTACATGTATATCCATTTTCATGTGTCTTCTCATGTGCAACCATTAAACAAAGAAGTAATACTCTAAACTAGGAAATGACATGTGGGCTGAAATAGGAAAAATGAGGTCTATAATGGTTTTTTAATGTCTTGTTTTAAAATAAAATTGATTGTTTCCATGTTTAGATTCTTCAGGTGATTCTGACAAAGAAATCAAGGACTGGGCGTTGAGAGCATGTCAGAGATGTCTAATAAGTCTTGGTGATTTAGGTAAAAATCCRCCTTGAAATCTTAAGTGCATAGACATAAAGATTCCTTGTTTACAGAACCTTTGGTTTTCTTGCAAAGATTACAGTATAACAGAAGACCCTTGAAACTGGGGGTGGTAAGATTTCGATAACATAGTGTCCATTTATTACAACAGTTATTTATTYATTTGGATCTCCACATCTGTTTCAACTTCTCTCTGTTCTGTGTAGCTTCAGCTTTAATACCCATAATAAGGATTACTTATTGTCTGAGGGGGTAAAGTGCACTTCAYACAGTACTCAGGAAAATTGGACAACATAGTCCTTCTTAGATAATATTCAATAATCAATATTTGTTATATATTAGATAATGGCAGTATAGCTAGTTGCAAAACACCCCTAGTCTACTGCCTATTGTGTTCAATTTTTGATATCCYATTATTTTATTGCTACTTACTATTGTATTATTGTCTTTATTWTAGCACGTTATCAACAGGAATTTGAATATTTCAACAAGAACATGAAGYTAGCAGAGAGGTTTTACTTGGAAGCATATCATCTTAACCCTGCTCTAGGTAAGAAATTTTGATCGAACAGAATTACAAACTTTGTTATACTGTTGAGTTTGGCTTCTAAAAATTACACAGAGCACTTGTATTGGGCTTCCTGTGTGAACAGCAAGAGATATGGCTATAGTWCAGCTCTGTTTACCACAGGAAGACCTTTCAAAGAAAAAGTCATACACATATGCATGTATTCTTATGGAGTTTATATAAAAGGCAATTATACAGAGAATAGATGGAGAGATAGGGAGGGCTAAATCTGAAATATCTTTAATTTCACACTGATTTACCATACTTAACTAGCTAGTAATCATGTCATTTATGCTTAGGTATGCCACATAATCAGCTTGGTACCTTACTAGGTGGACTGTCATATGGATGCGAGGGTGTATATCACTACATGAGATGGTAAGGCACTCTGGATATCATTGAGCAAAGTAGTGTAGTTAATTAAGCAAATGATGTCTTTTTCCCCCACAATATTGATGCTGACTTTCTGTATTGATCRGACCAGATCTATTGGCTATTAAAAAATAATGGTATTTTGTTTAATGGTTTGCAAATTTCAATGAGAAAGATTACTGATATTGATGCCTCTAAACAACAAATATCATTACACATATTACATATTTTGGTAGCTTGATAGCTGATACAACAAAAAATATGCAAATTTGTTAATGACAGTAAGCATGTATTYATCTTAACAGTGGCTAAGAACTAAGAGTGTGAGAAATTTGCAAATTATTACATTAGAATGTACTATTGGTAATCTAAAATRACTTTAAAAAGTTTGATCTTCAAATTAACAATATTTGTCATTTTCTTTCCTCTTATTAGCATGATGTCCAAGGAGAAATTTGAAGGAACTGAAGGAAATCTGATGAGACTTTTTGAAAAGAATAGAGTAGTGGTTATGAGCTTAAAAGAGCTGCCTATTAATGCACCGGTTGCTGAGAAGTAAGTACTGTGCAATTTATGCAAGGGCGGATCCAGGGGGAGGGTCGGGGGGTCGCGACCCCCCCTATCATTCCTGAGGTCAGATGGGCTTCCTGTGGTAAAAATGCGACCGGGATTCCTTTGCCCACAACATTTTCTCCTGAGACCCCCCTTCAACAAATCCCTGGATCCGCCCTTGTTATGGTACAAGATATTGTGCATATTAATGTGATTTGATGGCTTGAAAGCATTCCCAAGAGAGTCAAGAGACAAAGATATGGCAGTCATGTTGTTGGTATTAACAATGAATGCTGATAAGGATCATTTTGTTTATTATTTCCAATATTATTGCARTGACGTAACCTGCAAATGGAGGATTAGGGTTCCAAACACCCTCACATTCAAAGCCTAAAGTCATCATGATATTAAATAGTGAAAAACTTAATAAGTTCATATTAAATGTTCTGTATTCCAGAGTGAAAAGATTTCTTGTGTACTTTGTCTATCTACAAGATGTTCTTAACAACCATGAAAGGTAAATTAAGAAGAGAAAAATTCCAATAAATTTATGCTGTCAACACCTATATTATGTTATTTTTTAAGCTTTAATTGTTAGTGAATATTGTAATTTCCTTCCTAACATGATGTTAAAAAATTATACTAGTTAAATAGATGAATGGATAGATGCATAGATGGATGCATGGATGGATGGATGGATGCATGGATGGATAGATGCATGGATGGATTGGTCAATGGATGGTTGGTTGGATGGTTAGTTGAATGGATGGATTGATACAGGCATGCATGAATGCATGGTTGTACTTTGGTAGTGATAATCAGTTCTATATCTATCTTTTACTTATCATACTTGTATGCTATATACTATTTTGCATACTCTTATATCTTTGTGTAGTTCTGAAAGTTGCAATGAAGAGATAGGACAGCTCTGTCAGTCGGTTCTCCAAGACATGGATATAGTTTTGTCCCTAGAGAAAACCACCMCTTTAGCAGAGAATGGTGAAAAGCAAGAAAGCTCCATTTCCTTAACCAATGGTGAACATGTCAATGGAAAAGCTACCTCAAGTGATGAGAGCAAGAGTGGAAATGTTGAACTGACAGAGCCATTRATGGTAAAAGTTGCTGGTGCTTTGATTATGACACTGATGAAACTCAAGGCTGAGGGTATGTTTAACTCATGAAAAAAGAATCAAGTTACATGTACCAACATTATCCTCTCTATATTGGGACATTTGACATCGATYGTTCTAAGATTTTTGCAAACCAGGTTCTGTGAAAAGTCTCCTTCACAGTTCCTTTCGCCATCTTGAAAGGTAGCCATGTCTTTGAATTGAAGCGAGACGAACGGTGAGAGAGACCTGCARGTAATTGTCAAAGGTGTTAAAAAAGGTCTCTATCATTGCAAGGTCACCGTTTGTCTCGCTTCAATGCAAAGGCACAGCTACCTTTCAAGATGGCCCTGGGGACTGTGAAGGGGACTACTACTGCTATTTTCATTAACATGCAAACTCTGTAATTGTGGTTTGCCCATTGAAATTTGGTTTTTTACTACCACCAGTCAAAGATATGAATGTAACCGTCTGATAAATTTTGATTGACAGCAGCAAAAAACCAAATAATTCAGCATTTGCAGCTCCAGCTACCAAGTTTGATGTTTATTAAAAAAACTTAAACACATTTGGGTCACAAGCATTGTCAAAAACCAATCTTATTTTTCATAAGTTAGAGTGCACTTCTTTGCATGAATGCAACACCATTTACTATTTGTTATTTGTGTTTAGGGTCTTCTGAAGCATCAGTAGCTACAGCATTCACCTTGGCCTTCTTGTCCCAACTCCTACAACAGTGCATATCTTCACTAGAGCAAGATCCAGCTAACAAGAAGGTAAACTCCACCAAYGCAAAGCTAACAAATGGCAAGACAAATCTTGATCAAAACTTCATTGACAAAGAACATGAGCAGCTAAAGAAAGTACGACAGCTCAAAAGAGCTATCAAGACCCGCCGCAGAAGACAAAAGAGGAGAGACATGAGTAGTAGCTTGGACAACTGTAGTGCAAGTGATAGCGATACAATAGAAATGGACAGTGGTGATGAGAGTGACTTAAGTGAAGGGGGAGTGGAGGATTTAGAAAGTGAAGATGAAGAAAGTGATGATGTTTATGTGGAGAGTGATTCAGAAGAAGAGAGTAGCTTYACTAACAGTTCTTCTCCAAGATCTCTGTTCTCCAAACAAGAAAAGAAGGATCCCAAGAAAGAGGTTTTGAATGGAAACTCTTTGACTGAGGCAGGGAAGTTGTTGACTCAGCAGATCATGAGAGACAACTTGATGTCCAAGAATGGGGTTGCATTTGGRAAGGTGACTCAGATTGATGCTAGTGATGTCAGTGATGTAGAGACTGGTAAGTTATAAATTCCAATAAAAGGCAKTTGTTGACTACTGTACTGTAGTTGATCCCCGGGGGGTACTCTTGCCCGTTTAGGGTAGGGATGTGCCGCTGAGCCCACTGAACCCTGACCCTGTTCCAGAGTAAAAATCGCTGAAATTCATACCCTGTTCCAGAGAGGAGAGAGCGTGATTTCATATACCCTGTTCCAGAGTGAGCGAGATTTTATATACCCTGTTCCAGAGTAAAAAAAAAAACCCTGTTCCAGAGTAGAATTGCTGAAAACCATACTCTGTTTGGCGGCACGTACCCGTATAGCAAATATAGGGGATTACCCACCCCCCCGGGAGTTGATCATTTCTAGTATGTAATTTACAAATAGAATTTACTATTTGCCAGAATGTTCTGTCCTGTCATGGGGAAAGAGAGAGGAGTTTGAAGAACTTGCTGTAGTTAGGAGGTTACTCAATGAGAAGCTGTTACCAGCRATTAAGATCATGACTGACTGGCTTACTGTCAACCCTGACATCATTTCCACTTGTGTTGAGGTGGGTCTTGATATTTATTTATCTAACTTTGCTTTAAATGTCCAAATAAATGATGATAATCCAATAAATGTTATTCATCATCTTTGATGCTGTAGAGTTCCTCCTCTCTTTGGTCCAAGATGGCATCTTTGTTGAACTTACTTCCATCATCGGAACAACTAAAAAGTACAGGTTAGTTTTAAAGTGAAGAGAAAGCCATCTTGCTCAATGAAATTATCCCATTGCTTAATGAAAGGGAGCAATCAGTAGCCTATGTGTTCCCCCATTTATGAAAAGGGAATCATGATATCTTGATTTCTGGTTTCAGGCGGTAGAAATAGTCAGAATACTTTGAGGACTTATTTTGATATGTTGTTTTGACTTAACAGCTGCTAGTTGCATATTAATTCCCTTCAGTCACCTCCAAAAAGTCAGGTAGTTGATAAGAACAAAAACTTTCTTTATCCTTTCATACATTTTTTATCTCCCTTCAGCAACTGGAAAAAGCAATCTGTGGAAGGAAATTGTTGGACAAGAGATGGACGAAAACTGGCAACAAACATATGCCCTTCCTGAAGATGTGTGTATGTATGGACTTTATCCACTGATAGAGATACATAGWAAGATGAACATGTATTGGACAAGGCCCCCAAAAGAAGGCAGATGCTTGGAGGTAAGGTAGCATCCTTATAGGAAAAGGAGGGGAAATCTAAGCTATTTTTCACGTATAAGAAAAATAAAGGCATTTTAAGAGCAGCGAAGTTGTTACATTATCATCAGTATAGTGGAATACTGTAGACTTGTTTAGCTTGGGCATAACGTTTTCCCATTTCAGACCACATGCCATTCATTCCCTAGAGTATCATTTCTTTGTTTAACAGTTATGCATGAGAANCTTGTTTAGCTTGGGCATAACGTTTTCCCATTTCAGACCACATGCCATTCATTCCCTAGAGTATCATTTCTTTGTTTAACAGTTATGCATGAGAAAACCTACGAATATAAATATGACTCAACAAAAAATCTTATTCTCCAGAGATGGATGGTGTGAAAGGGGAAAACATTATGCCCATGGTAAAGAATTCTATTCCTTCATGCCATGCCCTGAGCATTTACGTCATAGTATGTACTGTAACTAGTGTGTATTGAAGCAGTATTAGTTGGAAAATCATCCTAACTGCAGTAGTTATAACCTCACTTTTCACCTTCTTTAGACGATCATCAGGACTTTGAGTTTGAGGAACTTTGGATTCAAGCTATCGAGAATGAAGGTAAATATACCATAATTAAACTAAGTTAGGAAGGCACTYGGTTTTATCTTCCATTTATTATTTCAGCATCTGTTTTTATCTTGTATACACTATGGTAATCATTGAGAGTCTGTTTAATTGTTGATAATTTTAACTTTTCTTTCTTTTTCTCGTTTATAAAGGCGTTAAAATCGTTTTCGTGGRACGAAAGTAACAAGGTATTTCTTGGTCCAAATCAGTTGGTAGAGAAAGAGAAGAAAGAAACAGAGCTCTCTCAACATGAGGTACTTTGTTGTTAATTTTTAATCCAAGTTTTTTAGACAATCGATTCAGCTTGTAATACAGAGGAAACGAGTGTTTCTAGATACGTGCACACTATAAAGGAGAGTCATAGACCAGAGCACCAGTAAGTGTTGATAGCAAGAGTTTAAGCCAAATCCACAGAACGATGTGACTCCATTGCAGTATAAACTATCGGCTCGGAGAGAACTCTTTAATCACAAAGATTTATCTTGAGTTTGTTATCTTGACATAGAACAAAATAGAATTTCGTTTGCATTTTTGATAAGCATAAATTTGAGGAGGAAGGAGTTGATCCTCTTGCTCACATCCCTATGCTACTTGGATGCGGATTGAAATTTGGGATGATTTTCAAATTAGTATTGTGCAGATCGAGAGCTAGCACTTAAATGAATATGTAGAGATACCAGATTACACATATTTATTATGTATTTTTGCTTTGCAATAAAACCATACCAGATCATTATTACCACTTGGTGTAAATGACATATTGTTGGACATAAGACCTACAGTACAACTCCCATGATGCATCATTACTACCTGCAATCTTTCAAGTGTGATTGATATCATTTTTAGGCTGCCAGTCGTCGAACACAAGTAATGAAAACCATGGCTCACCGCAGAATGCAGGTGAGATTGAAAGAATTCCAGCCTTCAGTTTGAAGTATAGTTAGTCCTCTATCTTTCAACATGTCTTACAATGTACACACTAGGGTATATTTATATGACATGGAAATGATTGTAGTAAGTCCTTTAGCATGTCTTACAGAACACCAGAGTGCGGAAACAGTTGACTGTGACTGTGTTTTCCACTCACTCATGCMAAATCCTTGACATCATACATAAGCTAGCCACCATGGTGGAGGAATAAAACCAAATATTTRTTGTATCATCCAACACAGCAGCCATGTCATTTGTTAATTGTTTTTTTAGAGTAGTCGTACGCCATTGATAATTACAGATCTTTTTGATGGTGTTTCAGTCTGAAGTAAGCAAGCTGGAGAAGTCATTGCAATCAGCTCCAAAAGGAAGTACAGCATACTTGGTACCAGATGCCCCAGCATTGTGTTCTCAGCTCCATCTCATTCGTAGGTTGATAAGCATGGAAACTTTTGTGATGATCATACCGATCCAAGGTAAGTTGGTGGGTTATAGAATACTACATGTAGAAAYACGTAAATGCTAATATTAACAGTGGTTCCACCGAGCAGCTCTTCTTCCGCTGGACTACAAATTAGGAGGAAACTTGGAGAACCTGGAGAAAAACCMATAAGGCCATATTCCTTAAAAACCTTAGGATTTCGTCAATACCCTGAAACAACTTTTGGGCTGACCAAAGGCAGGGCACTCACAGATAAGATTGAATTAGAATTTAACGTGTTTAGAATTAGAATRTAACGGTTTTGCGGAGGGAGGAAAACCGGAGAATGCATGGAGAAAAACCCTTGAAATAAGGGAGAGACCTAAACTCGAGACCACAGAGGCGAGTGTAGTACCGCTGCACCACCCTTGATTTCCATATAGTCGGAGTTACAAAGGCAATTTTCCCAAAATTGTAGGTATTTTTCTCACATTGTGAAAACAGGAACCAGTGTCTAAAACTCGATCTTTCTCATTGTTTTTTAAATATTATTTCTCTAGTGATTGCAGCCCTTGACAGTCTTAAGAAGCATGATACTGGAGCAAGAGAATCCATCAAGTACCTGGAAGGAGAGTTCAAGAAGGGAAACAGGTGAGTCATGACAGTAGCTGATCACCGTGTATTAGGCTTTATAGGTACATACAGCTGTGGGYGAAGGCAAAACTATAGCTAAATACCTCTTTACCTTGGGCGTAATTAATCCCATATCAACAAGACCTGTCCAATTAAGAAAATAATTGGACAGTTACCTATATGGGATTAATGAGAAGCTGTATAATTAAATATATTATTATCATTATATATGATTATATATTTATAAAATTTTTACACAAGTGAATATAATAAATCCAGCGCGCTCATTGGTCATAATTTACGTCGAATGTAACGCGCGCACACGCACGCTCGCTTGTCGATGTATGCCGCTTGAAGAGATAAACAAAATTTAAGAAAACAAAAAAACTCCCTCTCCATTACTTATTAAATTCACTTGTTTTATTATCATATTCCTAGAATATATAATTATACTGGTTTCTCTCTTGTAGGTGGATCAGAGCTCAGAAGGACAACGAGACGGTTGAGTCAAGCAAGARACGTGGACGATACGATGATGTTGCAGTCTGGTAAGTAAGACCTGTATACTCATCAATCAACTATAATCCGTCTGCTGTTTTTTATTAATTAGGCCTACACACTTAATGCTGCCTTAACCAACTGATCTGAATCTGACTGAGAAAAATCATTAACCAATTAGAATCGAGAAAATCTGCAAACTTCGAGGTGTCACTTTTGCCCTTRAAATTACGGATTTCCAAGTAAGCAAACCAAAAAAAAAAACGTCGCTAATAAGAGGTTGATAAACAGTGACACATTAATTAATGCGTTAAATATATATATATATATATACATTTAACAATTATTCGCCGAAGGCGAAGTGAATATACTTGAATTTACTTTCATTTTTCTAATTTCCTCAACGGAAATTGTAGCAAAACGATTGCCGGCAGATGCCATTTTGTTGCTGTTTTGTTCAATATTCCGAGTTTCAGAGGTGAATATCGTACAATATTCACCTCCAATTAACCAATGAGCGCGCGCGTTCTTAGGAAGTACACAGGTTGGTATATGCTAAACATGTATATTCAAAGCCGGCAGTTTTCACTAATAGTAGGCTATGACTCATGACCTAGTAATAGCTCATCTAATCAGAACTCAGCATTGACTAGTAAAAATCAAACAAACAAACACCTTTATTTGGATTTGACTAAGGTAATTTAAAAAGGTATTTTAGTAGATGTATGGAGCCTTAAGCCTTGTTTTCGAAATAAACAAACGCTCTCCCTCCCATCTAACCGTTAATAGACCCCTTGCAG